CATTGAATTCTATTAAATTCCACCTAAAACACTAAATTTATTAAATTCTACCTAAAATATCCTGAACACAACACAGGATTAGCAACATTTGGAACTGAAATCGTGACAGGATTTTGAAGAGCTGGGTCGTGTAACGACTTACAGAATGTTTCTGCCAACACTCTCGTAAAACGGGTCTCTTCTTTTTATGAACTACCACTTCCTGCATGTCTTCCAGGGAGGGATGCTGGCCAATTTCTTCTTCAAATGGCAACATGTACTCATCTACTGGGCCTAGGGATAAAAAAAGAAGTTAGAACCATCAATTTGGTTTTAAAAAAAGGGTTAAAAAATGGTTCCAGCACCGCGTACGCCGCACAGCCCAGGCTGCGACAGCAACTGCTGCTCCTCCTCCAATCCAGGACTAAATACTTTGGCTGATTCCTCAACAGAATCAGAGGGACGAGCTTTGTACGCTGAATTACAGATTATTTAGCTACAGGTTATATAATTATATGCTCCTGTAATATGTATTTTGTGCTCTTAGATCAACAGTCTAAAAAAAAAAAGGAGAAGAAATGAAGAGTCTGGTACAGATGAGGCCGATGAGGATCAGTGGAACCAACAAGGTACCTGCTGAAAACAAACAGACAGAAAAACGAGCCCCAAAAAACCCTCAACAAACCCAACCACGTGTTTGCAGAGAGAAAAGCAGCTGTGACTGTGCAGCGACACAAAGCTGTGACTGAGGAAAGCTGCTTCCCTTCATCTCACAGCATCCCAGCATGGCCTGGATTGGAAAAGCCCTTCGAGATCATGGAGTCCAACCATGAACCCAACACTGACAAGTCCCCTATGACTAACCCATGTCCCTCAGCACTATGTCTACACGACTCTTCAATCCCTCCAGGGATGGGGACTCCACCACTGCCCTGGGCAACCCCTTCCAATGCCTCAGAACCCTTTCAGCACAGAAATTCTTCCTCACATCCCATCTCAACTGCCCTGGCCACAACTGGAGCCCATTTCCTCTTGTCCCATCACATTCCCATCATTCCATTCCCTTCCTGATGCCTCCTTCATGTTCTGCAATAACACCCACGGGTGCCAGAGAGATCTCCAGCACCCTCCCAGTGAGGTGCAGCTCCAGATGTTTCACAGCACACTGACGCATGAACAATCAATGAAAACCATGGAGCTGCCTCAGAGATTTGTGCAAGATCCTGTCAGTAGACAGCTTAACATCCCCCCAGCGCCTTCTGCTTCACAAGGAACGTTGGAAGTGGAAAAGCACCCTGTGGCCACGACGTATATCTCCTATACATCCCGGCTTTTTCCATGGGGATGTATGTGTCAGCTGCGCTGGGCAGCTCTCTCGTTGGAGAGCTTTGTGACAAATGACATCACCACCCAAGTGAAACCATCCCATTTACTGAGCTGAATTCAGCTGCTTTAAAGACTGCACCGAAACTTTCTCCCAAACATTTCTGAGCCCTGTCCTTTGTCGTGTTCTTTATTAATCCTGAGTTATTCTGCACACCCAAAACAATGTCCCATTTACAAAACTTCAGGCTAGTTTTCATACCTGAAAGGGGGTCTCTGGTATCTTTTCTTGAGAAGAGTTTAAAAACTGGATCTAACAGTTTGTGTTAGGAGGGAAACAACTGTTTTCCTAACGAGTATCAGCGCAGGTTTCTCAGGTGTTTTCACCCTCTAAGCAATCAACAATGAATTAGAAATTCTGACATCCATATGAGCGGAATTAATGTGACATTGGTGATAAGAGAGAGAAAAAGCGGGTAGGGAGGCACTGAGCCTCCCCCTGGTACCTGTGGTTACACCACAGACTTTTCTCCGTCTCCCTGTGGACAACTGAGCTCTGCTGCAGAGATGAGTGGCTCACCGTGATTCAGGGGGGCCCAGGGGGTGTCCTGCACGTGCTTACAAGCAACTAGAAAATTTTTAATGGCATCAGTGCTCTTTGTAATAAAACACGTGTTGACCTATGAAAATTCTCCCTGTCTTTTCACCTGGTATTCCCTTCCAGCCTGGGGAGAGATCTCTGACGTTAACAAGGGTCTGCAACATCGTCCACAGCAGCACAAGAAGGGGGGTCACTCCCCAGACGCTCAGGTGTACAGCTGAAGGTATCAGCTTCTGAGCGGGTGCAGGTGGGATGGCTTTGTTACCAAGGTTCATCTCATCTGAGCTTCTGTTTATGAAAAGCAGCGATACTTTAAAGAGAAACTGATTGGTGCTGAGACCATCTGGCTGAACTCAGAAGAAATCAAGCCTGACAAGATTCCAGCAGCATTTGGCCAAGATCTGAACGTTGGGATTGTCCTGTGCAGGGACAGCAGTTGGACTCCATCATCCTGGTGGGTCCCTTCCCACTCACAACATCCTGTGATTCTATGATATTAGGTGAGGAGTTCCACACTAATTCTCTCTCTTCCTTCCCATGACCCAGAGAAGAAATGACCCAGATACAACCCATGTATCAGAAAACTTACCTGGGATGTCAGATACTGAAGAGACTAAATTACAAAGTGACTCCATGATGTTGGTGTTCCACAAGACTACCATCCTCACCAGATTTTATTACATCCACATTATCTACCTTCCCCAATTTCTTGCTTTAAAAGCACCTCTCACACACTGCATTAAATATTTCCACAGATGAAGTACGTTGCTCACCATCTGAGGCAGTACAGCGGGATGCCAATTCCCAGAGGACCAATCCCATGGCATACATGTCTATTCTCAGGAACGCATCCCTTTGGAAGTTTATAGCACCTTCTAGTACCTCAGGAGCCATATACCTTCGTGTGCCAACCTTGAAAAAAAAGGGAAAGCATAAAAATTTGTAGGCTAAGAATCAACATGACCACAATTACCACTCCAGCTGGTCCCAGTTAGAATAACGCTGTAGACCAGTAGTATTTTGTTTGTTAAGACATTAAAAATCACCACGTTTATCCTTGCTTAGGAATAAGTGCTGGAAGTTTCTTGTATCCTTATATCCAAGAGTGAATTAGAAACAATCATATAGACTGGGTCCTATGAAAGGTACTCAGAAAGCAGGAAAATCTGAATATATTTTAAAATGACACATTTGCATAACAATTCAATATATTCATCAATGCCATTCCCTATTTTATCAAGCTGGTCTAGTGGAAGGTGTCTCTGCTCATTGCAGAGGGGTTGGACTAGATGACCTCTAAAGGTCCCTTCCCACCCAAACCATCTGATGATTTTCTCCCAGATTACAGGAAGGCCATTATTCTTATTTTTTCATGTCAAAAGAATTACTGCAGTTCCACAAAAGGATGTGAAAGGTGCTTCTGTTTCTCCTCACGACAGGAGCAGTAATAAAAATAGCAAAGGAAAAACTAGCAACCAAAGTGCGATCTCTGTAGATTCACAGAACCCAGTTCTATGAAACCACTTACACATTCCAACTTTGGGGATATCCATTGGCCACGACATTCCAACTTTGGGGATATCCATTTGTTTCGACCCCAGTTAATGATGAAATTATATCTCTGAATAAATCACAACTTCTCTGATATCTGAACATGTTTCCACTATTTAAACCTTCATGGTAACAGCAACGTTTCTCTTTAAGCAAGGAGGTTTTATAATCTTATTGTACAGATTTTATTTCTGTCACTCAACTATAAATTATAAAAATAATAAAATAATATAAATTTTTCTGCCTAAAATTAAATACATTTAGTTTTCCAGAAACCACAATGCTCTAAGCTCACACTTGTTATTTTAAAACAGTTCCCTGTTGTAGGACAAGTGTCACACAACACTCCTGTTGTTTCAGGAAAGTGACTGTTGCTGGCTCAGAAAGTTAAGATGCTGGCTGACAATTTAAGTCTTAATTTCTGAACAGAATCACAGAATGGTTTGGGTTGGAAGGGACCTTAAAGATCATCTAGTTCCAACCCCCAGAACAATTAATAAAATATAGCAAGACCACTCTTTCTTATCCAAATCCCCTCGTAAGAATGAAAATAAAAGGGGAGAAAGGCCGTGTAATGAGATTGGCGGGGAGAAGGTTGTGATGGCTGGTTCCATATTTCTTTTTTAATAGTAAAGTTCCTTGCTTTGTCGCATCAGTGTGATGAGGAGGTGGTGTGGTAACAGCTTTAGCACACTCATTAGTTGGTGATAGAAACTGGGTTGTGATTTGTTTCCTCTTGCTTGTTCCTTCAGCACAAATCCCATGTCGATACAACTAGTCCCATTTCTGCTGTTGCATCCCAGCTGAAGATTTGTCCAGCACAGAGCCACCAAGATGATGAAGGGAGTGGAGCATCTCCCTGCTGAGGAAAGGCTGAGGGAGCTGGGGCTCTTTAGCTTGGAGAAGAGGAGACTGAGGGGTGACCTCATTAATGGTTATAAATATGTTCAGGGTGAATGTCAGGAGGATGGAGCCAGGCTCTTCTCAGTGATGCCCAATGGTAGGACAAGGGGCAATGGGTGTGAGCTGGAACACAGGAGGTTCTGCTTAAACTTGAGAAGAAACTTCTTTACAGTGAGGGTGCCAGAGCCCTGGGACAGGCTGCCCAGGGAGGGTGTGGAGTCTCCTTCTCTGGAGACATTCAAGACCCGCCTGGACGCCTTCCTGTGTGATCTCATTGAGGTTCCTGCTCTGGCAGGGGGGTTGGACTGGATGATCTTTTGAGGTCCCTTCCAATCCCCAACATTCTGTGATTATTTAAAGAACTGTTTCATTTTTAGCCTGTGAGAGGAAAGTGCAAATCGTCATTCTCCTTAAAAGTCACCAAAAATCGGGCTGATGCTGCAGTCTCCTGCGCGTGAAGAACACCTGAACTATCGACTTCCACTCACACACAGTTAACAGTTGTATCATTTCTGGAAAACAACTGGTATTTACCTGTCCATGTGTATCCCCTGCAGACTTTCCAGCCTCAAACTTTAAAGCTAGACCAAAATCAGCAATACAAGCTGTAAGGTTATTTTTCAGCAGCACATTCTTGCTTTTGATGTCCCTTTTAATGAAAAAAAAAATATTAAAAAATTAGAAATTTAGAACATGAAATACCATATAAAGTTCTAAGGAAAAAGTAATATAATAAACCAAAGAACATTATAATATGAAAGGAAAGAAAAATATAAAGAAGCAGCCCATTTAAACGACAAAATAATAATAATAAAACCTAGGAGTACACTTGCACACTGTGATTCTTCTGAGGCCGCATTGGAACTGTCATTTTATGCCCAGTTTTAAAATACACACACATTTATAAGCATGTATGATACAGAAATAGAATAAAAACGTATTTACTGCCTACTTTAATGACAGCTACATTTTCTTTGTTTAAATAATGGGAAACTAAATGCTTAGCCACAACCAAGATTCATTTTTCAAACGAGCAGACACACGATTTCCTGCAGAAACAAAAGATCACGGGCTCGATCCCAGGATTCCACCTGCCCTGGGGGTACTCCCCCATTTCACCATCAGTCAAGCAGTTTTGCTCATGAAATTCCAAATTCTGCAGAATCTGTACAGCTCTTACTCTATATGTTTATCTTTTCTTTTGGCTACCGCTGTAATTTCAGCTGCCTACTTCTGTTCCCAGCTTCCTACACCTACAACAGCGATTACACCCGGCGAAAGGCCTGACACCACTGACAGGAAATGTTTCTGTCTGAAGGCATTCGGTACTACTTAAAGTTACACAGGAAAGTGTTTCAGGTGGTTCAAACAGTGATAATGCTGATTATTTTTATATTATTATTCAATAATATGTTTGCTGCGTTAAAATACTTCTTTTAATTAAAAAAAAAACCCCCAAAAATTCCATCTGCATGCTTTTCAGCTCAAAAGATTTCCTGCAATTAAGAATTTCTTTGGACTATCTAGATTTTTTTGAAAATTCTCTAAATGCTGATTATTTCATATATTGCATAGTACTTAAATAAACTCCTTTTTTAAAAAAATACAGTTAATTATTACATTTACCACAATCACCTCATGCAGTTCTATAAATCATCAGCTAGATTTTTTTGCTTAGGCTGAGCAGATTTTTATTATGAGGCTCTTGATAATTCTAGAAGGAAGATATCACAGAGGATTTAGACTATTTCCCATCTATCCACGATTCATACATTGTTAATATTTAACCTCAAGGTTAAATATTAGCAGTTACACACCAATATTTCACAGCTACTATACCTATGTGAGATGGCAGGTTTATGTCCATCTTTTAGCCCTGGTATGTCCTCGTGAAGATAAGCCAAGCCTCTAGCCATGGTTTGAGCGATGTGGCATAGCTCGTTCCAAGAAACCACGTTAGCTTTGAGAAAGTCTGTTAATGAACCCTGCAGAGCAATAAAAGAAAGACAATTAAAAGATCAATTTCACACTCATCTACTCCTAAAGAAAACTTCTGTGTGGGCTCCATCATTAAAGGACGTGACGTGCCCATGTGCCTTTGTTTGCTGATAGATCATGTAATTAAACGTGTGTGTACACATGTAATTAAACATGTATGTACACATATAATTAAACGTGTGTGTACACAATCAACTGCTGGTTTAAAAATATTAAAAAATCAGCTTTTGCATCATCTCTAGCCCATGAATAGAATCAAGATGCATCCACCCATCACCTCAACAAGCCAACGGCACAATGAACCCCAGCTCAGCGACATGCTTACCAACGAGCTGCGCTTAACTGTCAGTGTCAGCGTCAGAAATGGGAGCCAGGAGTAAAATATTTAAGTTCTTTATAAAGAACACCCTGCTCTTAGGAAGCTGATTTATAGGAAAATTACAGGAAATTACAAGTGAGATTCACCTTCAAGAATCCTGCTCAACTGTGTTACGACCATTCTCTAAAACCTTTAATTCTAAGTCTTTTTCTTACGGACCAGCAACGGTAAACTCCAGTTTCACAAGAGAATTTCAGAATGAAATACATACTCTGAATAAATATAAAGAGATAATGTAAAGTAAAAATGTAGTCAGCTTAAAGCACATATTTCCATGGATCTGCATATTATCCAGTTTGTGAGATGTCAGTGTGTCATGTTACTGTGTGAAAATCCAACACAAAGGGGAAAATGAACAAAGCGCTGTCCGAGCGCAGAGGCTACACTTTAAACAGGAAATTTAAAAATTCTTATTTTCCATCAGGGTAACAGTAACAAGATTTTTAAAGCTCTTAGACAAAAAAAATAATTAAAAAAAAAATTAAAAAAATATGGCAATAACCTTTCAGAAAGGTAAATTAGTTTGATATTATCTATTTGATTGTGAAGGTCTGTCAAAAATCTTAAGTAGTTGGATAGTTTTAGTTTTCTAAATGATTAAAGCAGAGGCATCAGGGGGACAAAAATGCCAGAATGAAGAATGCAACGTTCAGCACTAGAAATATGATCTGTGACCCAGCCTCGATGCATCAGCATATCCATATTAGACACGTTTATATTTTCTCAAATGAGACTTTTTTGCTCTTTGTACTTATATCTGTGACAGTTACATGAGTTAAAAAACAAAAAAAACCCCCAAAAAACTCCTAAGTGGACAAAATAAAACAGTGAACATTTTCTTCGTTACATATATTTATGCTTCTTATTGTGGTTATCACAATACAAGTGATAAAATATTACTTCTTTCTTACAGACATATCTTTGCAAGATGGAGATTATTTAATTTAGGGAGATTTAGATGGGGGATATTGAAAAACAAACATTCTAAAAAGCAAAAGAAAAAAGAATAATTTTTTATTTTCTAAAATAACTCCCCTATTAAAGGCTGATGACAATTTTCTCAGCTGGCTGAAAATAAATTTAAATTCATATCCAATGAAAAGAGTAAGGAAAAAGACTTGAAATTTATTAAATAATATTTAATTTAAAACATTTTACTCCTTAACTGTCTAAAGTTCACATTTGTGACAAATTTCTTCATCTACAATAATGCTAAAAAAAAAAAAAAGACACTACAGTGAGAACTAAACACACCTTTTCATGAAATGCTGTAATTAACCAGAGATCCACATCGATGCTGGTGCCTCGTTTCTCTGCACCGATGAACTGCAGAATATTGTCGTGCTTCATTCCAGGTAAACTGTAAATTTCATATTCGTTCTGCCAGGATTGCTTGTCCTTTAAACAAAAACACACAAAATAATGACAATAAGAACTGCTGTCCCTGACAGAAGTTTCCTCCTGTAACCTCCTGTGCAATTTTAAGTGATCAGTCAAAGTTACTAATTATTTTTATTCTTTTTTTATTCTTTTCTTTTTCTTTTGGCAAGCCAGGATTTATTACCTAAAGGAAAGTACAGTGTATACTATTAACAATATGATTATTTTAAAATTACAAACGTTTAGACTAATAAAAATACTTCTGTTACAAACTACTGACCTAACATATACCAAAATATGAAAAACTCACTTTTTTGGGATGTATTAATATTAAAATATAGCAGAAAATCTTCTGAAAAACTTAAAATTTGTTGTAAACAGACATCAACTGTTGAAAATGACATCAGCTATCACAGATGTGAGCCATGGAAACAAAGAGAGGACTGGAGTCTACATACTGCAAATCATTACAATTGCTTCAGTCTTAACATTATGGTTCAATTTTTATATTTTATTAATCTTCTAGACCCACATAAAGAATTAGAAATAGGTTTTCCTCCAATTAAAAGAACGAAGAAAGTCTCAGATTTAATTTATGTTGTGCTGCTGCCTGAAACCAGCATAAATACATCCCATTTCTCCTCGAAGAACAACAACCTGCCGATTTATTGGGTAATCATCAGAAAACACAAGAGCATTTCTGCTCCTCAAGTAGCAATGGGTGTTTTTAATTGATGTAAAATCTAATATCACTGTGTATGATCACTTGGTATTCTTTAACTAGACTGGATCTTAAAATTATAAGCACAGTCTTTTCTAAAACATGGTTTTCAGAGGGCACTTGCTGGGAGATAAACATTATTTCACTTAATTGAGGCATGTTTAATTGGAACAATCACCTTCTGGGATTGCATTTCAGGACGTTCCTTCCAAGTACAATTTAATTTGAAAAATATTAACAAATTCTTCCCAACTGATTGAGAGATGTGAGAGAGCTGCTTAAAACTACTCCTGCCAAATACTTAGTTTTATGACTAGGAACATATCTAAACTTCACAGAGTTTATGTCTCAATACTACATTTGCTGCATTAAAATACTTATTTTAATTCAATAAAACTCCCTCTGCAAATTTTTCAGCTCAAAACATTTCCTGCATTTAAGAATTTCTTTGGACTATGTTGATTTATGGTAAATATTGAAAATTCTCTAAAATATTGTGACTAGAAAAGCTGGTTTGTGACATTATGATGGACACAGGACACTAAAAACTTCTGCTTACCTGGATAGGGAATATTTTGACCGCAACATACTCATTTAGCAGTTGAGCTTTCCATACACATCCAAATCTTCCCCTGGCTTTGATCTCTAGTAACTGCAACGGCTTCAAACCCATCAACGGTGAAGGTGGTGGTGGTCCAGGATCCTGAAATCAGATTAGAACCGTTAATTGGATGTGCTATCTATGATGGCAGCGCTAGAAATAAAGGCTTGTCAACTGAGAGAGATTCGGTATCACATACCCAACCCCCTTGCAACAAATTCCCCCACACAAACCAGAAACAAACCAGCAACTCTTCTCCACAGGGAAAGAAAATGAGATTGTCAAACACGCTCAGAATTAACGTGCAAGTGAGAGCGTGACAACGGTGACAGTACAAATCTGTCCGACCCAGTGGGAAAAGCACAGCAGAAATTAAAAAACAATGATAATCAAGCTTTACTTGGTACTTTTTTAATTGACAGAATTAAAATGAGCACCTTTGATATGTTTAAGGGTTTTTGAAACCCCTCACTCTCTGCACTTATCTACTGGTTTGGAGTTGAGCTGGTACCATCACAACCCTACTTTAAAAGCTCCACTGCTTCCTGGGGACAGAAGGTTGCAGGCCAGTATGTAGCCAGGCCATGTCACTACCAGGTCTTCCAGGAGGTAACTAATGTTTTTCCATTCGGAAGTCACTGAGCCACGTGCACAGTGCAGATGTTTGGCACAGGAAACCAAACACCATCATCTCAGCACTGAGTCCTGCCGGCGACACGAACGGGGCGGCGTGAGCAACCACAGCACCGATGTGTCAACCTACTGATCGGCTTCTGTTGCTCCCAACTGTTGCTACTGTACATCAGCAACGTGTGCCTGAAATGTGAGCACCTGGCTGCACCCCAGCAACAGAACTGGAATCAAATGGAAGAGATTCTCTTACGGTGTTTTTACTCTCCTGAAGGGCCAGCCCAACAATTCCTGTTCACACAAGACGCCGCAAGCTGGGAAGTACAACTGCAAGTGAGACAGAGCTTCCATACAGCTACGTGTACAACCACCAGCCTTAATAGAGACTGAATAACTTCCCTTTCCAGGAAAGAAGATGTGACAGCTTACTGCATGTCTTGTATTTTATATTTTATACATCTCCTACATACTCTGTATCATACACATCATCTGAATATAACAAGTAGATATTCAACTTTGTTGCCAAAGATGAGCTTGTCTCTGGGCTGTTCTTTTCTCTCCAATCCATCATGTTGGAGTGGTTTGTAAGCTTCTTCCCTACCGTGAGCAAATGCATCAGACCCATGTTCATGTGCCTCTGCATCAAAGAATGTTACCCTGTGCCCAGAACCAGAGAAACACGATGGCTTCTGTCCGATCCCTGTTTTCTGCAGGAAAATAAGTCAAGTTCTGGTGTGGTCACTGGGCAGAAGTACCAATACTGTCACCACGAGAAGCCAAAACTGTCACCACCTTCCCTCCACATCCCCCTGAATTAGTTTAAACCACGACTCGTTCCTCAGCCCAAATTACTGAAGAGAACTGCAAATGCCAGTGCCAGAGGTGACAGCGTGGGGCAGACTGCGAGACTGCAGATGGGAAGAGGGTGAACGGCTGCTTTTAGTGGGAGTGCAGGTCCATGGAGACCACAATTGTACCATTTTTCTATGTCATATGACATAGAAAAAACCAAACATACAAATGAAGGGACTTTTGACAAGGGCAGAGAGCTACAGAACAAGGGGTGATGGTTATACACAGGACAAGGGGTGATGGTTATACACAGGACAAGAGTAGATTGAGATGAGATCTGAGGAAGAAATTCTTGTCTGTGAGGGTGGAGAGACAGTGTCCCAGGTTGTCCAGAGGAGCTGTGGCTGCTCCTCCCTGGAAGTGTTGAAGGCCAGGTTGGATGAGGCTTTGAGCAACCTGGTCTAGTGGAAGGTGTCCCTGCTGATGGCAGGGGGGTTGGGACTGGATGAGCTTTAAGGTCCCTTCCAACCCAAACCAGTCTGGGATTCTATGAAAGGCAGCTATTGCTTTTAAATTACAGTCACACTGCAGTCAGTATACAACAAAAAAACCCCAAACCCTAAGTCTACTGTTAAAAAAACCTCCCTCCAAATTCTCTATTTTCTCCCGGTCACAGCTGTAACGCTGTTTTAAAGAGGAAGAACGAAAACCACTGCAGTAGTTGCCTCTATGAAACAAACGAGAGTGCTCAATAATTAAGTATCTGAGCACTTCAGTTAGCGACATAAAAACCTTGTGCATGCTAAAGACACATTTTCTGAACAACTGTGGTTTTAAGCGTATTTTACTATTGTGAGAATGGTGACAAGTGCTTCTGTATCCAAGCTTTGAGTAGCCTAAGCACAAGAATAAATAACCATTCTCTTGTTTCTTATTAAGCAACAAATATATCCTATATATATATATATGTTTTCTTACTAATCAACAAATACATCCTTCAAAAAGAACAAGTTTAAGAGAAAGACAAATTTATAGCTAAGCCATTTCAAAAACTCTAATTCCAGAAATTAATAAATGTAAAAGAAAATATCATGTTTGAAAATCAAATTAGAGACACATTACAATACTATCTTAAAAAAAAAGTATGAAATCCTTTTGCAAAGACGACAGTGATAGATAATTAAAGTTGGAACATCACAATTGCTGGGTTTAAGCTGGACAAACAACAACAAGGAAAATGAAGAGCTGAGTTTTCCCTCCCGTGCTGCCTTTCACTCAGTGCCAAAGCCCTTTATGAATATTTCAGGCACCAGGGAAATCACTGTCCTCAATTTGTAATAAAACTAGAAACAAGATGCCCAAGTTTACTCACAAGAGCCTACTTAACTTGTAAAAAACCCAAAAACCCTGTTATTTTTAAGAATCCTGAGCACTGTACAGCATCTGGGGATTTAACATCAGTTAATCAGACAACTTTTTAAACTTTTGAACCCTTGCCTAAATTAAGAGAATGATTTGTGGGAAGTGAAACCCCCAAAATCACTTTGATGTAGTGGCTAGAACAATTCTGCTTCCTTTCCACACCCACCACCCAAAACATCTGCCTGTATTTCAAAGCACACTATATGAATTTTTTCTCAATCATCAAGCAAATGACCATTGAATACTTCTCAAAGATTTGATAAAAAACAAATTACGGCATCTATCACGAGAGAGGCAGTAACTCCCCAGTACAAACTGGCCAGTGAACACTGGTGCTTCTTACTCTCACATTAGACCACAATATTTTTCATACACCTGGATTTCGTATTTCCTAGAAAATCCTGGCATTTAAAAATTATTCATTAACACACTATAAACACACTGTGGTTCTGAGTTAATAGAACCACAGCTCTATTCCCACTACCTTCTCTAGCTGTGGCTCCCTGCACATTTCCTTCTCGTGTTGGAACATTGCTATGAAGTCAAAAACTTCCAGCCTTCTTATGAAGAAGCAACACACACCCCCCCCCACACACACAAATCAAAACAAATCCCAATTTAAAATGGAAAATCTAATTGCCTTCTGGTAACAGAACTAAAAAGAATAGTTTTCCAGGTTTTTTCTGATTTTTTTTTCCCTAAACAACTTGGTTAAAATCAACAGGCACTGACTCTAAAACTACAGGTACTATTTTTATACAGTAACATTCCTCGATGGTATTTTCAACTTGCTCTACTTCGAAGCAAAAATGTTTAACGTGCCACGGGCATAATTATTTTTGTATGGCTTGTTCAAATCATCTCTGTGGCGCCGAGGATGATGATATAATGTGAGTAAAGATATAATATGGATATATTAGTCTAACAGCTTGCCACAGCTGTCAAAAAGGACCCAATTCCCCATTCCTGAGCTTTCCCTGTCCCTTCCCTTGGGCTGATCCTGGTACTTGTTTGACCACACACACAGCAAATCGAGGCAACGTGCTAGATGGCCAAAAAGTTTTTATTTATTTATATTTAAAATCAGATTAATTTTCTGGTAATTTAGCAAATTGAATCAGTCTGTACCATGGTGCTGGTTAACAGAAGCAGCACGGCGAGGCAGAAGGAAGCAGCGCTCTCGTTTGGGAGCAGTGAGCCACTGGCCCGTGTAACCTCATTGTCAGTTCTCCACCAAACACAGGCCCTGTCCTAACCCTGGGGCAGTCAGCAAAGGCACCAGGAACGCTCCTGCTGCACAATGACCCGCTGCCAGGTAAAAAGCAGAAGCAAGGGGAAATGGGTTTAAGCTGAAAGAGGGCAGGTTTAGATTAGATATTAGGAAGAAATTCTTCACTGTGAGGGTGGTCAGACACTGGAACAGGTTGCCCAAGGAAGTTGTGGATGCTCCTCCCTGGAAGTGTTGAAGGCCAGGCTGGATGAGGCTTTGAGCAACCTGGTCTAGTGGAAGGTGTCCCTGCTGCTGGCAGGGGGGTTGGGACTGGATGAGCTTTAAGGTCCCTTCCAACCCAGACCATTCTATGATTCTATGATTCTACTTGAACTGTCTGGGTCACAGGATGCAGAGCACTCACAGACAACTCGGCTTTTCCTGTAGCACAAAGCCACGGATCGTTAAAACCCTTAGTTTGGGTTGTGTGGTGACCTCAAACTCATGGACATCTAGTTATGTCGTACACTGTAATATAACCAAGGGACCAGTGATGGAACAAGAGGAAATGGGCTCCAGTTGTGGCCAGGGCAGTTGAGATGGGATGTGAGGAAGAATTTCTTTGCTGCAAGGGTTCTGAGGCATTGGAAGGGGTTGCCCAGGGCAGTGGTGGAGTCCCCATCCCTGGAGGGATTGAAGAGTTGTGTAGACATAGTGCTGAGGGACATGGGTTAGTCATAGGGGACTTGTCAGTGTTGGGTTCATGGTTGGACTCCATGATCTGAAAGGGCTTTGCCAACTGAGGCAGCTCTGGGATTCTGTGTTTTCAAATCTCAATCAGGGCTTTTTGGTTCTTGTTTGTACAGCTGGGAGTTGCTGTCAGGAAGTACACACTAGTCATACCGGGAAGAGAACAGAGGGAAAAATATTCATTAAAGAATGGTAACTTCCAGAAACAGGTTTCCTGAAGTGTCTTCAAGAAAGGTTCTCAAGATCAGAGATAAGTTTAACAAACATGAAACTACAAATCCATTAAAATAAACCAACTGAACAGCTTGTTTAGAGACTTTCCCCAACACAGACTGTCGGCACTTGAGTTTCTCTCCAGTCGTGGATCTCATGTGGCAACTGAATCAGGTGATTCACCATGTACAACAAAGGGAAAAAACCCCCAATTATCCAAAGGGGGTTGTATAACAGACACAATTCTCATTCCTGACTCCAAAATATAAACAAGTTATCAGACTTCCAGAGCACGTGGAAGTTTTCCTTGCTAAATGGTGCAATATTTC